TCCAGCAAATGGACCTGGCTGGGAATAGCCCCCGTCCTAGGAACCAGGCCTAGGCAGGCCTTCCCTCTTATTCTAGGCCAAAAGTAAAGGAAATTTGATACATGGGTCTGTCTCTCACCACAGGAAAAGTGGACATGGGAATTTAGTACAAAGCCTGCAGTCCCAGTGAGGAGAACAAAACCAAGGCAGAGAATAGTACTTAAAGGTCAGTCACAGAGGCCCCAAGTGCCTTGCCAAGGAGGAACATGAGAGGTTTCATTTTTGGAGACAATGTCTAGAAGGAGCACTTGAGCAGGGGCAAATCTAGGTTTTGTGGAGTATGCAACTCATACAGTTAGGGGAGCTCTCTCTATAAAAAGAATAGAAAATTATGAACATCCCATTGGGCAGAAGGTCTTGGAAGGGGCCTTGCTAGGGAGTGGCTCTGGAACTTAAGCTTCATGAGCTCTCCTGTGAACCTGCCTCTGCCCACAAACCATACTTGCAAAGAAGGGAGAAACTTTATGAGCCTGTGACCCATGGCTGGAGAGCAAACCACAGCAAGACACGGGTTGTTTTTCCTTACTGAGGTTGGGTGATGGGGAGTGAGTGGGCAAAACACTGGTGTCTGGGCCTGGTCCCAGACAAGGAACATTAAACTGGCTGGAGGTGGCCTGTCCAGCCCTCCTCTGCTAGAAACAGAGAACAGATGGTGTGTGTGCTGCCAACAGGCACAGGCCTGAGAAAAGCTGCGACTCTCCCATCAAAATGGCCATTCAGAGAGCTGCGCGGAGGCAGTAGGACAGCCGAGGACTAGGTAGAATCAAAGGGCCAGAGGAGCTTGAGGAAGCGTATTTTGGTTCCCTCCTGCTGCAACTGGGCAACTCTTTAGGGATTATTCTGTCCTGTGTCCAAGGCTGACATGACCGAAAGGGAGGGAGAAGGGCCCAGTGGAACAGCCACGTGAGAGGGAACTTTAGCAACCAGAGTCAGTGATTAGACCACACCAGCCACTTCATGGAGCTATCTTTCAGACCATCCTAGCTCACTATCTAGTTTTGTCATGGAGGAGAGCATTGACTTTCCGTAGAGCTACACTGCCCAGGTCTGAATCTCAGCTCCAGCACTCATGAGCTGTGTAAACTTGAACAAATAATAAACCTTTCACATCTGTAAAATGGGTACTATGATAGCATCTACCTCTTGTAGAAACCATCTACTTAAAGCACTTAGAACAGTGTAATAATAAATATAAGGTATTATTATTACCTATTCCTTTAAATGACAATTATGCAGACTGATGTATCTCAAATGTGGTATACCTTTGCAGCAACTGGCAACACCTTTTTTAAGTAAACCTTTTATTGAAACGTGATATGCTTATAGAAAAGCACAAACATGATAACTATACAGCTTTATACATTCTCATGAAGTAACTACCATCCAGACCAAAATAGAACATTGCGGCAGGTGATGGGCTTTTTAGAAATGCAGACTTTCTAGCTATTTCCCAGAATTTCTGATAGTAGAGAGTAGCTTTAGAATTTCCAGTCTCCCAAACTTAAGCACCTGCTGGAGACCAGGCATGATAAGGAGGTACTACAAATATAGATGGGTCAATCAGTCAGGTAATATTTTTTAAGTTGTCTAATTCACTTGAAGTGAATAATGTTTGAGGCATCTAATAACAGGTCAGATTTCGGCCATAGGAGAGACCACATTTGAAAGGGATCTTACATTATTTAAATAGTGCTCCAAAACAAATGACTCCCCAAACAGAATTTGCTGTCTCAGACCTTCTGTGAGTCAGGAATCTAGGGAAGACTTAGCTGGTCTCTCTGTCTCAGGCTCTCTCAAGGCTGCCATCGCGATGTCAACTGAGCTAGGATATCATCTGAAAGCTCACCTGGGGAAGACCTCTCCCTCACCTGGTTGCTGGCAGCATTCAACTCCTCACGTGCTGGACAGCAGAGGCCCTTGGTTTCTTGTTGGATGAGCCTCTCCTTATGGTAGCTTGTCTTCTCAGAGGGAGCATGCAAGACAGCCAGAGAGAGAGTGTCAGCATGATGGAAGTCACAGGCTGTGATAACTCAGTTGTGGAATAGACAACCCAACACTTTTGCTGTAATTTATTCACAGCAAACAGGTAGGTGGGGATCATGGGAAGCCATTGTAGAAGCCGCCTAGATCAGCTCTCTTTTCTAACTTAAACCTTTCTTCCCTTTTTTTTTTAAGATTTTATTTATTTATTTGAGAGAGAGAGTGAGCAGAAGGGAGAGGGAGAGAGAGAATCTAAAGCAGGCTGCCCGCTGAGCTCAGAGCTGGACGCAGGGCTCAATCCCACGACCACAAGATCATGACCTGAGCTAAAATCAAGAGTTGGATGCTTAATCGTTTGAGCCACTCAGGCACTCCCACTTCTTCCCTTCTAGACTGCTTCTTAGGAGAGGGGAAAAGTGGTCCCTGGCTACCCGGGCGCTGCTCCAGTGAAGGCCTTCTCTGCTTTGGTGCACCGGCCAACCTGGTGACTAGATGGACTGGAGCTCTGGCTGGACTGGGAACCATCTGTGAGCAAGTACTTAACTTCTCTTAGTGAATCTTCCTCTGTGATAGGAAAATAAGGTATGCCTTGCAAAAACCATAAGGATAAAATAAGTTGGCATCTACATAATGCCTCATCAGTAACTAGTATTCAATCATTTTATTTCCCTTACGTGTTTTGAGGTATTTCTTGTCCCTCTGACAGAAAAGACTGTTCATCCTGTCCTCTTCCCTAAAGCTTTTCTGGGACCTTATAGCCCCCTGAGGCTTTTCCCTGTGCCTCCCTCCCTGATCTCCCCACATCTTGGAACCCACCCCACTTTCCACCTATTCCATACATCTCAACTTTAGAGTTCAATCAATTAGCACTTTAAAGGAATATAGTGTTTTATTTTTGGCTAATAATGTTTCCTAATTCTTCCCTGTTGGAAATGACATCTCCTCCTAAACAGTTGGCTGTTTGAAGGTAGAGACTGTCCCCAAGATATTTGCTTGGTTAATATTTGGCACAGTGTTCAGTCCATGGTACCTGCCCAAATGCTGAACTGACTTGAACTAGTTCTTATCCCTCAATCAGAATGAAATTGATCCTATCATGTTGACTTTCTGCACTGGTATTAGGCAGGGAATTATGGGACTGACAAGCTGACAAGTCCCCCAAAGAGTCTGGACTTGCTTTAAATTAATCAGTGAATCAAGACCACTTCAGGAAAGCCACCCCAAGGAAAGCACCATGGGGAATAGAGAAACACACAAATATAGTCTTCTCCTCCAGAAAGCCAATAGACCAAAGACCAATAAGATGTGAGCACACAAACGCATTAACAAGAATAAAGAACCAAGCATAAGAAGTGCTCAGTGGGTAGAATATGTAATCGAATATGTAATTCTCTGTGTGGAGAGAAATCATGTGGCTGGAGCAGGCAGAGGGAGTTTTTTATAGGAGGAGATAGAAATGGTGTTGGACTTTGAGGGGTGAAAAGGATTTGGGAAGGAGATTGGCTGATGGTTAGGGGTGGGGTGGGAGACTTTCCAGTCCAGAGTGATGTCATAGACCCAAGAATCAGACAGGAATACAGAATGCCATCTGATAGGAGGGCTGGTTTAGAGATGGGATGTAATGGGAGAAAAGGCTAGAAAGGTAAGTCTGGGTCATAGCCTCAAAGCCAGGCTAAGGAAGGTGGACATCTTGTCATACACCATGAAGATTGAGCCACAGAATGGCTTGATAATGTTGGTTCTGAGGAAGGATGGTCTGGCTCCAAGGTATAGCCCAAACTGGAAAGTCTAAGTGTAGCTAGCACTGAAGAGTCTAGAAAGTCACCCCTTGGTCAGCCTGGCCCTGACCACCAGGGACTATTCAGGGTCAGAATGCTTGTGTTCCTCAGTGCTTGGTGTGTCCACCTAAGCCGGACACTGCTTGTTCACAGTTGGGCGTCACTGCTATATGCTGGCCTGTTTTCATGCACAGAGTCCTTCTCGTTGCAAAAGAAACAAAACAAAAACAAAAGCAAGAAAGAGTCATTTGAGAATTCTTGCAACATCTGTGCAAGCTGGGTAATGGACAAATATTCTCTTACCTGAGACCATATCCTCACTGAGCTGCAGAATCAGGAAAATTAAGGAATGAGTAGACTTAATAGGTTTTTTTAGTGTGTCCCCCCAGACAGTACCCAATTGTTCCCCACAGTATAGAATTAAATTACTCTGAAACGCAGCTACTTCCCAAGAAACCAGATAATTTTAAATAATTTAAGAAACTTAAGGAGAATAATAAGCTTCAAAAAACAAATTACAGTTTTGTAGTTATTTATGCAACCATCATATAAACATGTGGGGAAATTCCCTCAGAAGCATAACAAACCCAAAAAGGAGTCAGAGTAAATATCCTGAATGCATTCACCTAATCCTCAGGAAGCAACAGTGCTATCAGTCATCAGCAGGCCTGGCAAGACGAGCAGGTTCTTCTGGGAATGAGAGTTTCTGCTCATGGAGTAAAAGTCAAATCCTTAATCCTGGAAAGATGATTGGGAACCAGGTCCCAGCCTGGGTGCAGGTGCTCTGAGCACATGATGAACTGCAGACCCAAAGCTTCCACCAGTCAGTTTATATCAAAATCTGCTGGAGGAGAGGAGGGAACAGGAAAGAGGGACCAGTGGATGGGGGATGAAGAGCAGAGAGATTGTCTGTTCTTGATATAGTTTTCTGAGCATCCCTGTGCAAATCCCTTCTGAGCCCCTTAGACAGAAGGGGACCACCCTGGGAAAAACCTAAGGAGATACTTTCACAAAGGAATGATCTGTGAAGAATAAAAACAAACATTGGGGGGGGCACTTGTTATGTTCTAAGCATGGAACTAAGCAGTTGTATTATCAGGTAATCCTTTAAACAACCCTGTGAAGTAAGTACTATTGCTGTCCCCATTTCACAGATGAGGATACTGAGGCTTGGAGGGGTTAAAACCGAAGATCATCTAGTGAGTAAGTGGCAAAGCTGGGATTCAAACCCAGGTCAGCTGACTCAAGCCCATGCTCCTTGACCTTGCAGTAAATTGTGTCACAAGCAAGGCTAAGGACAATTCTACCCGCAACAGGGCAATCAGAGGGGAACTGTGAGCCCCAGTGGGGCATTGAGGGCTCCAGGAAAGCAGGCCTCAGGCATAGGCATTGGTGAATTCAAAAAGGCCCCAGCAGCAGAGGCAGGATCTCCCTGGGCCTCAGGCAAGAGCAAGGCAGGCCAAGTGCAGACCCCGAGAGAGCTGAGGGTCACAGAGATACTGGGGCTGGGAGCCCTCGACATGAGATGGCACAGGAAGAGACTGTGCAGGGAAGGGACAGAGTGAGAGAAGGCCCTGGACAGATGCCAGAGGAGGACAATAAACAAAGGGATCTCAAATCAAAACTGAGAAGGAGAGGGTCAAAATTCCATCAACCCAATTTTATGAAAATGTGTTGAATTTCATTAGGGATAGCTCACAAATACAGTCACTCAAGTCTAAGAGCATTTGTCTTAAGTTTCTCTTTAGAGTCACACCAATATCTCTTTTCCTATAACTTCTATTCCCTATTATTGTTTACAGAAACACCACATGATCGTTTTAATTGCAAAAAGGAAAATTGGCCCCAAAGGAGAAACATTTTTTTAATTCCTTTAAGTAAAATTTCATACAAAGCATTCACTTGACAAACATTTATTGAGTGCCTACTATGAGAAAAAAACCAGGAGCAGCCAGGTTAATTTCACAGTCAATTAATTTCCTAAAGTCAACCTATCGGAAGTGATAGATGTAGTGCCCTTGGCTGCTATCTGGGGACAACAGAGTGTCATCCAAGCCTGGGGTACATTTGGAGAGACTTTGAACCATTTGGTCAAACCAAAAGATAGCAGAGCATGGGTCACCAAAGAAGGACCTGCTCAGTATAGAAGTAAAGCCAAAGCCAGAAATAAGCCTACAACACACACTAGAATTAAACAAATCCTGAGGTTAACTGGGTGAAAAGAACAATATGGAGATCAAGGCATCAGAATCATGCCTTAGAGCCAGCCTGAGATCAAGAACATAGGATGCACTAATGGGGTATCAAAGGGCTCCAACTATTTTTAAAACAGTGGCCCAAGGTATTGGCATTTAGTTGGACCTGAGTCCTGTGGCATGCAGATGAATCACTTCATAAGGTGTTGCTACAAGTCCTTGGGAATTTCACCTTCAGATTCCCAAAATGGGATTTAACATGTGGATCCCTAAAAATCCTAGTTTTCACGGTTTTTTTTTCCCCAGCTGATGGTCCCATTTTCACAGGAAAAAACCACAGATCTTAGTAAGGTTTATTTTCCAAAAAATGGGCGAAGAGAAGTTGCATGATGATTAAGTCAGACTAAATAAGGATACAGCATCTGAGGGCACCTGGGTGGCTCAGTCAGTTAAGCGTCCGACTCTTGATTTCAGTTCAGGGCATGATCTCAGGGTTGTGAGATCAAGGTCTGCGTTGGGCTCCACACTGGGCATGGAGCCTGCTTAAGATTCTTTCTCTCCCTCTCCCTCTGCCCCCACCCTATGCTTTCTCACTCTCTCTCTCTCTCTAAAAAAAAGGAAATACAGCATCTGAAATGAAAAAAGAACAATAACCGGTCCATTAAAGTTACACTGTGGCAACAATCAGAATGTAGATTTGGGCAACAGATACTCCTTAATGTAGAGATTTCTTTAATGTAGGCTATTAAGCGTGCCAACCACCTTAGGCCTTTGTTCTCCTTCATAAGAAACTTTTAATCAGAGAGGGAGTCGCATTTCCTACCACTCAAGTGTGATCAATACTCTCACCTGGGCCAAGAGGCCATCTGCCAAAGCCAGCATTTTTGCCAGTCTCTCCGAGACTCGAGAGGAAAGTTGGCACTCCTAACCAGAACATGAATCTTTGACGGTCTCCTAATGGCCAACATTATTAAATAGTAATCATGTGGCTCGAGACTCCTCAGCTTTTTGTTATCTCAGGATTCAAATTGCCATGTGCTCGTTCCTTGTCCTCCCAGGGATGAGCTGGGAAACTTCTACCCCAAATGCCCATTGTGCTACATGAGTTCTCTGTATCTCTGGCTCACTCTCCATTTGAGCTCTCGTGAAAAATAGTCATCATGTGGACATATTCTGGAAGGGTTGTGACTTGGACCGTAAATAGGAGGAGAGAGATCCTGGGGTGATCTTTGCCCTGTGGAGAACATGTATATCCCACAGGAAGCTCCAAGTTCCTCCTCTACTAGAGTGTGACTCTGTCCTGGAAATCACTCAACAGCTAAGTGAGAACTCTTCTTTCTGGTATTTGCAAAAGCTGAACCTTTAAACAGTTCTTTTTTTCTGATTAAACTTTAAAATCTTTCAGTAAAGGCTACTCAGAAAAGATCAAGCCAAAAGTTCATCATTGCAAGAGAACTTTTGCTTGCTCTGGCTACTGAATCCATGATTAAGGAAAGGGGCGAAGAGGATGTTTTGTTTCTGAAACAGCCTCAGGGTGGTTAGAAACCCTCTGGGGCCTTTTGCACTTAGCTTTTTTCAAAAAAAAAGGGGGAAGGAACCTCTCCCACACATGCTGAATGGCAGGTAGTTTCTCTATTCCTCCCACAGTCTAGGTCACTGGTCAATACCAACAAATCCCCGCTGAGCAAGTGGGTTTCGAGAGCAGCCAAACTCATTTTGATCAGTTATGCTTACCCACAGAACATGGAATGGTTACCAGTTAAGAAGAGATAGTTATTCCCAGACAGGAGCCAATCTAAACATTAAAGGGCTTTAAGTTGGCAATAACCTGGGGGTGGGGAGGAGCAGCCGTCTCAGATACAGAGTAGAATATTTGCTGCCCCCAGCCTATAGGTTAGCACACTCAACGTTTTGTCCACTGGAAATGGTATTAGAGCACATCTTCTTTCTCTGAGGCATCTTGTAACATAGACTCATGAAGAGAGACTGCTTGAAATGTGGCACTTTTTATCATTCTACGTGGACAATATTTCCAACTTCAGTTACCAATCTTAATAGTAAGCAATATATTTCAGTGTATCAGAGAAAAGATCTTCACTTCTTAGAACTTTCATGATCTGCATGGGTGTTTTACTGAGGAAAAATTAACCCCCTATACAAAAGTACATTTATTATATTATTGAGGTATTGTTACACTGTAACATTGATAATAAAAATAATGATTTTGAGCTATTTTGAGGAAAAGAAGATAAACCTGAAGACACCTGTGGTAAGACAGTACCCCTCTGTCCTGCCATTTGGTCTCAACTATGTTCTAAGATATGTGACAGGTGGGAAGGTATCCCAGGCAAGAGGGGCTTAGATCAACACAAAGTCTATTGGATGATAGATGGAATGCAGATGATTCAGGAAATCATCGTGAATGGAGAGTTACCACCATGGACCTGGCTACCATGAAGGTGAGCCTCTGGGATTCTCTACTAGACCCCCAATGTAGTTGACTGAGGGTCCTTGTTCCAGTCCCCTTAAAATCCACCCATGCCTTTGTATCGAGGCCACACTTTCCGGGAGCTTCTCCCAGCCAAGAGTGTAGCACAGATACTAATGCAGACTTGCTTTGACTCTCCTCTGACAGTTGATTTTGGCACAAGGACTCCGCATAGGCCTTATGAAACTTTCCTAGAACTTCCCCGTAGTCTATGGCCTTTCTTCCTCCCCTCTCTTCCTCACAGCACTTGGAAGTGCATCACGGTCAGATGACTCTCCCAGGTTTCTCTGGTTCCCTCCGGTCACCCCCCACCAGCATTCCCCCCAACTCATCTATCATACATCCAAGCTCATCTTGGTGACTGCTCCTCAAAGACCCAGACTAAGGCACACAGTACACCACTGAAAGAGAATCATGTCAATATGTCCAAGACAAAGTCCCTAAACATCATCACCGCCACCAAATATCTTAAGTGGGTCGCTCATTAAATTTCCATTGCACTACTGGGTATTTACCCCAAAGATACAGATGTAGTGAAAAGAAGGGTCACAGGCACCCCGATGTTCATAGCAGCAATGTCCGCAACGTCCAAGCTGTGGAAGGAGTCAAGATGTCCACTGACAGATGCATGGATAAAGAAGATGTGGTCCATATATGCAATGGAATATTACTCAGCCATCAGAAAGGATGAATACCCAACTTTTACATCAACATGGATGGGACTGGAGGGTATTATGCTAAGTGAAATAAGTCAAACAGAGAAAGACAATTGTCATATGGTTTCACTCATATGTGGAATTTAAGGAATCGTGCAGAGGACCATAGGGGAAGGGAGGGAAAACTGAAGGGGAAGAAATCAGAGAGGGAGACAAACCATGTGAAACAAACTGAAGGTTGTGGAAAAGGACGTGGGTGGAGGGATGGGGTAAGTGGGTGATGGGCGTTAAGGAGGGCACGTGAGGTGATGAGCGCTGGGTGTTATACGCAACTAATAAATCATTGAACATTACATTAAAAACTAATGATGTACTACTATATGTTGGCTAATTGAATTTAAATCAATCAATCAATCAAATCAATCAATCTCCTGATAAACCAAGTTGCCCTCCAAGAAATTCAGTTGCATTTCTTTGGGTTTCTGCAAATACTGATACTGTACTGTGTGGCCTTCCATCTTTTAGCTAATCTTTCTATCCATCTACCTGTACATGTTACGCAGTTAATTTTCCTGAAATGTTGCCCTTATCCAAACTATTCCGCAGCTTGCTCCTCAGGATGGCTTCCCCAGACATCTTCAAATCAACCCAGTGGGGGCATGAGGGAGCCATGGATGTTCCTCATGAGTCAACAGTGAGCCCGGCATCCTGGTGTGAAGACAGGCCTTCTTTCCTTCTACGGGAGTCAAGAGGAGGCCTAGGCTCAGCGTGTGCCGTAGCTTCACCAGATTGCTTCACTGACTCCCCTAGTCATGGCCCTGCCACCATGAAGCCCATTTTTACTGTTTATGACAGTCATTGCCA